GCGCAAGCTGAATCCTTCGGTGAAGAGGTGAAAGTATTAACAAAGAATAAAGGGTGATACGGTCAAAATTTGGTCAGTATCAACTTGACGTATTTCTTTCAATTTTGCATTTAAAAAACCTGAACACCCCTCATTTTGAAGGTGTGTGTGTGTAGAATGTTGCTCCTATTTTGATTTTGGAATTCACTCTTCAGTTGTCAAAATGCCGTCCAAGCAAGAAGAGCAGCGTATCAAAATTTTGCTCGCGCATCGCGAAAATCCGAGCTACTCGCACGCAAAGTTGGCAAAATCGCTAAAAGTTGCCAAATCAACCGTTACAAATGTAATTAAAGTGTTTGGCGAACGTTTGTCGACAGCCAGGAAGTCTGGATCGGGGGGAAATCGAAAACCGGAAGCCGCTGAGACGACAAAGAGAGTTGCCGGTAGTTTCAAGCGAAACCCTAACCTCTCTCTCCGAGATGCCGCAAATAAGCTGGGTGTATCGTCTACAACCGTGCATCGAGCCAAAAAACGAGCCGGACTATCGACTTACAAGAAGGTAGTGACTCCAAATCGCGATGATAAACAAAATACGACGGCCAAAGCGCGATCCCGGAGGCTGTACACGACGATGCTGACGAAGTTTGACTGCGTGGTAATGGACGACGAAACCTACGTCAAAGCCGACTACAAGCAGCTTCCGGGACAGGAGTTTTATACGGCAAAAGGAAGGGGAAAGGTAGCAGATGTTTTCAAGCACATGAAACTGTCAAAGTTCGCAAAGAAATATCTGGTTTGGCAAGCCATCTGTACCTGTGGCTTGAAAAGCAGCATTTTCATAGCTTCCGGGACTGTCAACCAAGAAATTTACGTGAAAGAATGTTTGAATAAACGTCTGCTGCCTTTCCTGAAGAAACACGGTTGTTCCGTACTGTTTTGGCCGGATTTGGCATCTTGCCATTACGGTAAAAAGGCCATGGAGTGGTACGCCGCCAACAACGTGCAGGTGGTTCACAAGGACAAGAACCCTCCCAACACGCCAGAGCTCCGCCCAATTGAGAAATACTGGGCTATTGTCAAGCGGAACCTAAAGAAGACCAAAAAAACTGCTAAGGGGGGGGAGCAGTTCAAGGCAAACTGGCTTTCTGCGGCGAAGAAGGTGGACAAGGTGGCTGTACAAAATCTGATGGCAGGGGTCAAGCGTAAGGCCCGGCAATTCGGATTTGGAAAAGCGGAAGCCTAACTGAATATTTTTCCTGAATTTTATACTAATTGAACTTGAAAAATAAATTTAATTTGATTTTTTAAATAAACGGTTTCACCGATTTACACGCGTTTTCCCTTGACCAAATTTTGACCGTATCACCCTTTACGAACGTGGCCGCGGAGCATAGATTGGAGATCGGCTGACACCTCTCATCGATGAAGACGGAATTCTGCGGATGGAGAGCCGAATGGAACGCGCTGAGTTCCTATCGTTCGACCTTCGTTTTCTCACAGTGCTGCCGAAACAGCATGCAGGTACAATGAAGATCGTTCAACATATCACGAACGATTCGGTCATGGATATCGAGAGACAGTGAAGAATGAGTTGCGGCAAAGGTTCTTCATACAGGCGGTAGGAGCAGTAATTACCAGGGTAGCTAGTGACTGTCTATGGTGCAGGATCAACAAAAACCGTCCACAAAACCCTAGAATGGCGGCACTACCGGTACAAATACTAACTCCATTTTTAAGACCCTTTAGCTACGTGGGCATGGATTATCTTAGGCCGTTCGTAGTCACAGTTGGCCGTCGCAGTGAGAAGAGGTGGATAGTTTTATTCGCATGTTTGGTCGTCAGATCAATTCATCTCGAGGTCGCTCGTTCGTTAACTACGCAGTCCTGTTTGATGGAAATTCGCCGATTCGTTGGTCGACGTGGTCCACCGAAGGTATTTTTTTCGGACAACGGGACAAATTTAAGAGGTTCAAGCAAGGAGATAGTGGACAAGATTCACAGCATAGATCAAGAATGCGCCGATGAGTTCAGGTCGGCTCGAACAAAGTGGACGTTCAAACCTGCCTCTCCTCACATGGGGGGAGTTTGGGAAAGAGAAGGAAGTACTGGTAGCGATTGATGATGGAAGGCGTTTGACTGACGAAATCCTGCTCACCTCGATCGCTGAAGCTGAAGACATTATAAATTCTCAGCCACTTACGTACGTGAGCCAAGGAACAGATAATGCCCGAAAACTTAGCCCTAACCATTTTCTTCGGGGCAGTGCACCGAATGAACCACTATCGGTGCTACTTCCGGTACACCCAGCGGAAGCTCTACGGGACTCGTTCAAGAGATCGCAACAGTTAGCCAACGAGATGTGGAACTGGTGGATAAAGGAATACGTGCCGTCAATTAGTCAACGAAAGAAGTGGTTCGAAGAGGCCAAAAATCTGAAGGTTGGCGATCTAGTCTACATAGTCGACGGAGACAAACGAAAGTGCTGAATACGCGGAATTGTGGAGCAGCCAATCGTAGCCGGTGATGGAAGTGTTCGACAAGCGTTGGTTTGAACCAACAGTGGTGTATTGAAGCGGGCTGTTGTGAAGCTCGCTCTGATGGAGATCAGTGATGGTGACACTGTTCCAGAGGTGACTGCTGCACCAGGATCACAGGCCGGGGTGTGTTCCGATGAACACCAGTAGGCTCAACGCGCGATCCCTACCAGAGAGTGCGGTGTTGGTTTGAAGGAGAACCCCAGCAATACTGCCAACTCGGAGCAGCATGAACAAGAAAGGGCATACGTAAGACCGTAATCAAAACAAAAAAAAAAACAATTATTATTCATCGAACGTGGTAGCGTGGTTTTATTAAAAAATTGTATTTCTTCTAAAATAGTATAACGGTGATATAAAATCATAATGTATTGAAAATTAGTGAGAATAATTATAGCACAAGTACCGGTCGACCAGTCAGCTTTGGGTTACCTAACCTAAGATATAAAGTGTGAAGATACACGATTAGTTTACAGGAATCGATCTGTCGATCTGCACTATCGTAAAGCGAGATCCATTTGCAAGAGGGAGACGGATTGGAAACTAAATTCTTTGATTTTTGTTCGGATTTCTTCATGAATTATTGTTTATAATCACCGTCTGCTAACAGCTGTTAGCAGACGATGATTCCAAAGAATAATTCCTGAAGATATCCGAACACCACTGTAGCACAATTTCATGAACAATTATAACTCAATTACATCAAAAACAAATGATGTTTAATGCAAAACATTCCAAATCCGCGAAAGAAAAACACGCAGAAAAAATAAGCACGTCAGATTTCAAGCGCGGCTTACTGTGATTTTCGAACGTTCAGCTGTTGAAAATTCGGTAGAAAATAACTGAAAACGGTAATAATTTCTAAGTGTGTATATAAGAGATAAGACAAGTAACTTGCTTGATCAGAATAATGTTTTGTTCTATAGGGCTCTATAATGGTTATTCTGATTCTATCTTCTATCCGATTTTTAATCCATTCGTCCTTTTGCCTCTTCGATCTCCTTTCGACCTTTTGTTTTTCAGAGTTGGTTGGAAATGCTAACATGAAGCTTTAGTGTGATGATTTATTAGCTAGAGAATGATCTTTAGAAGAGGGTAGGTGGATAGTTCCGTTAGAGTACGGCAGTATGAAAATTGAATAGAAGTTGAAAATGAGCGAAGGGCCATTAATGCGACAGTTTTAAGATAGACGCACATTTTTGCCTAACCCGTACGATGTACGCGGGGACTTGAAGTATGTCTCCAAGTCCACAGGCAAAAATGTGCGTCCCTCTTTTTGCTCATAAACTGACTGCGGCTGTGGAATAGTTCTAGCGACGTTTTCATCACTACCTAAAGCCCCACGTTGCGAGAGCATTTCCAGTCGATGGTGTGTTATAATGCAGTTCTTCTTTACCCAACTATTGTGTTGCTGTCTTGCAATGAGCACTCATATATCTAGTTTTCACTGGAAATCCTATGTATGAGTGCTCATTGCAAGACAGCCTATATTACATGATATAAGCCATAGTCTGTCCGGGGTATTAGTGTCAAAGGCACAGTGAAGGATACATTTATTCATACAAACAGGCCGCCATTACCGAGCATGGAAAGCTGGATAAGCCTGAAAAAAAGATGCATAAGATTTGACTAATTTCAGAACGGTCAAGAAAATTAATATTTTGAAAATTTATCAAGTTCAATTGAGGCATTCAGTCAAATGGCTTTTAAATAGGTCAGCGGTGTTCGGTTAGACCTGGTCAAACAACTTGACAATCTCCATTTCCGGCCTATTAAGCACAACCCACACTTAGTATTTCTTAATCTAGCGCAGTCTACCACCAAACGGGATGTTATTATTACTGATGGCTTTCAAATTTATTTACCTTTCTGTACGTACCGTAAGATTTGATAAAGAGGAACCAATCGTTGAGATATTGTCAAATGTCTAACACTGTTTCCTGACGCCTAACTCGGCCTACGAATTCTAAACTCGACCTAACGCATTGAAACGTCATTGAAACACAAATGAATTCACTTCGGCCTATCGGATGAAGATAAAAATTGATTCGGTCGGAGCGTTTCTTTTGTTTTTGGGAATAATGGGTGCAAACCTTCATATCACGCGTTCTCATTGACTTCGTTCGGTAGCTTATTTACTAAAATATCCTACCAGGCGCATAGTTGACTTGTTGGCTCTGAAATCATGGATTTATTTGAAGTTTTCTGCTCAATAGGCCCAAAATGGGCGATTAGGCCGAAGTAGTTCTCTACCCTATAGTATTTTGTAAAAGCTGCAGATGCTCGGAAAAAAATCCGTTCCCGGAAACGGGAACGGACTGTGAACTAAAAATCACGGCCAACTATCCAGAACAAAATTTTCTCAAATATACACCGTGAACTATGGTTTACGGCTGTGGTTCACGAATATGGGAACTCTTTTTTTCCCGTGTGTAGTCTACAGGTCTATTAAAACTAACCCTTTTCATTCCTCCTTTTCATTTCCAGTTTGTGTTCATCGACGCTCCTCCAGCACCGGCTCCTCGACGGCAGTACATGCAGCAATCGTTCGCTAGGGGTAAGTGCCAACCTCTAAGTTCTACTAGTTTCCCTCCAATCGCATTTTCTCACCGCCCATATTTTCCTAACAATCGCACCCAATGTGTAGAAACACGCGCTTTCGTAAAGCTACTAGAGAGACTGCGAAAAACGTTGAAACAATTCACCTTTGTGTACAGTTGTCTTGTTGTTTTGTTGAACCATCTCTACTGTTACGGTTGTCGTTCCGTGCAGTAGTAGAGCTCTGTTCACGCGTTTTCCACCGAAATGATTCAGTTTAAAACAAAAATGTATTCGAATCAACTCATTCAGAGCAGCAGCAGCAGCAAAAGCACGCGATCGAAAAATTAATGTTTGACGTTGTAGTTGCCATGCGTACTTTCGTTGATAAGTGTCAGCACTTAACTGTTAATAGGTTGATCATCTTTATTATGTTGCCTTCTTTGTTTTAAGCATTTCATACACCTGTCAGTAGAACTCAGCCACAGCCCGCTCAGAAAATATATTTTCTCACATAATCCTCATATAATTTTTCATTTTTTTTCTCTCTCTCTCTATTTCTCTACTATTGTTTCAGAATACTAAACTGAATTGTTAACATTGTTGTAGCTAATGGCTAGGAAAAATAATAATATGAAAATTGGAAAACGTTTGTCGTAAATGTTCACCCCACACGCATAGGATTTCTTTTTTTTTTCTTTTAATTTTTACTTTTATTATGACACATTGAAAAATGACAGATTCGGTGGAAAGTGGACAAGATCGGGCAAATTTCGAGGTATTTGTTGCCACATTTGAAGATTTTTACTTACTGAATACGATACGCTAGGTTTTGGAATAAGCGATTCGAACTTTTCAGAAATCTATCGGATAACGGTGGAGGGTAATGTTACTTTTCCGCTAGGTTTCTGAAATGTTTTTCTAGGTTTCATTTTATTTTATTAGTAGATTTGATTCGGAATAAATTACTGTTGTAACAAATGGTTGCATCATCAACAGTATGTAACTCTTTTTTGACACAAGCTGTACATTTTCTATTTCTGATATTTATCGAAAGCTTTGTTCTTTGTAATGTAAGCTTGTAATCACGAAAACCAAGGAATATAAATACATATCAACTGTTCGAGTTTTGCTTAAGGAAAACTTACCGTGTTTATTTATTTTTCAAAACTTTTCGAGAACTTTAATATTATTTCAACAAAAACGATAAACACCTACTATATGTTGCGATATATGTGAGTAAAGATATTTCTATGGAAGCACTGCTTTTGCATTAACAGTACTAATTGCGTAATTTGTTCTTTTTAATGGGTGTGGTTTCTGTGTTATTAACTCTTTTGCTGTTCTAATCAACATAACCGAATGTATTAATGTGGGTCAACCGCTTGGTTCATGATTCCCCGTATATTTTTGTAAATTTATTTAATTTTACAGTGACTTTATGTAACGTAATGCACCGAATACCAAACTGTTTGTTAATCCGAACATTTCATTTTAATATTCAACATTACGTCTACTTTGCAACATAATTACTAAGGGAAATGGGTCTAATGTTAGCCCCTCATTCAAGGATTGGGCCCATCATTAAAAAATATCTTGTTCTACAATTAGAACAATGTGTCATCTGGACAATAGAAATTGATATTTGTGGTTACGTAAGAAAAATTGGCAAAAACTGCTTTCCTTCGAAATATATGTATGGGCCTAATATTAAGGAATCGAATAGCCAGGGAGGCAGCTTCCCCACCTGCGTAGATATCGCATCACACATGGCCGGGGTCAACGGTTTTACCTGCCATCCGATGGAAGACGTGACCAGAGATTTTTATGTCTCATTAAAATCTCGCGGACTTTATTTTATTTTAAGTAACTGTTACAGTTGGAATAAAGGACCTTTTCACATGTTTGTCTAGTTAACACATATACAGCAGGGGTGGGATGTGGCTGTCAAATACGAACAATCGTCGCCTACCCCGTATTACCTCTATGGTATAACTGTTTCCAAATGTTAACAAGCCATATGAAACCTCACACTGAACGCTCGGTAGTCTGTACGGTTCAAAGAAGAATAACCGAGCTGTCGTTAGTTTTTTTTTGCTGCCCACAATCTGTCAAAGTTACCGAAAATCTCGGTTGACGAAAAATAAATTTAAGCAGAAATAACCGAACATCGGTTTACTCAAGAATTACCGAACGCTGTCAAACAAACCGACACACCTGTTGTAACTACATAATTCGGTTCTCTTGGACAGCGCTCGGTTTTCACTTCAAATCCTGCTTTAAATTTTGATTAAGGATACGTTGCTTCGAATTTTCATAAAAATAAAACTACTTTTGTCAAAGAAATGCATGAAATATATTCATTTAATTTGTTTTGGCGAATAAAAACGTCCGTAACGCGAAATACAGCGTGAAAAAGTACATTCAAAAAAATATCACTGACTTTGAAGTCATTCTTATTCAAATGGCTTTTAAAATGCCTTTGCAAGTCAGAGACATAACCATGAATATTTTCACGGCAAGAGAAAAAAAACTATAGCACAAGATGCCTGCAAATAAATCTATACTGTTAGTTTCAAATACTCATAAAAGATTTCAATCAAACGTGCATCGTCCTGTTGCAGCTGCTCCAGAACTTGTTCAATTTTTACTAAAGTTTTGTACACGTCCGACTAGCACACGTGAGAAAAAATGGCTGCCTTATTTTAGACTCAGCTTATACCCCGTTCACATTACAGCGTACACACTTAGAAATTATCGCCGACTTCGGTAATTTTTACCGAAAACTGAACAGCTGAACTGTTCGGTAAAATTTATGCAATTCAATTCAAGTGCTTTTCAGCTACTTTGAAACTAAATCTCCACCAAAATGACAAGATTTGATCATTTAAACAAGGTTGAACATGTTTTGAAATTATTTTCAAATTCAATAGCCTTTAAAATGACGGTTAAAATTTTACCGAACGTTCAGCTGTTCTGATTTCGGTAAAATTTACCGAACACGAAAACAAAATCTTAGTGTGTATATCACATGATATACAGTGTCTTGCAATGAGCACCCATATATCTAGTTTTCACTGGAAATCCTATGTATGAGTGCTCATTGCAAGACAGCCTATATTACGTGATATAGGCTGTAATGTGAACGGGGTATTAGAGAACCGGTTTTCGGTTAAAATTTTCGTCGCGAAGTTGAGCGCAAGTGGAACGCTTGACGTTTAAGCGTTTGACGTTTAACACGCTTTAGCGAATATTCGGTTCAGTTTACCGAGTTTCTCGGTTTTTACGTAGCGAATTCGTAACTGTCGATACATTACCGTACTTTTCGGTTCAGTCTTCATTTCTATCCGTCAAATTTATACTAGGGTTACGGTATGTAATGTGGGTCTAGTCCTTTCATTCGGCCTATCACGCAAATAAATAATTAATTAAGGAATATTACACAAAAAATAAGGAAAATATTGATCACTGATGGTTGATAAATGTGTACCACACACAAATCAATTTATATCACAACATTTCAATACATTTTCAGCTCTCGTAAGTAATAAAACTGGTTGAGAATATCACAATGTTCGGAGTTTTTAGCCGCCATGACTTATAAGGTTAAGATGGGAAGGTTGACTGACGATCATCAAATGGCCTGATTATGGCATTTATTGATTGGAATTACCTGATAATACACACTAGACGTAAAACTTACAGTTGCTGTTTGAATATTTTATGTTTATTTTAATTGTTTAACAACGTTTTCACAAGTAAAACATGGACCCAACTTTAGGGACACATTTCTTTTCTATGTTCCTAACTATGGCCCATGAAATTCATTTGACAGCATATAGCAATAAGAGTAACGTCAACAATGTTGTTTTGCATTTGGATGATAAGGAACGAACAGGAAGGGAGATTTTTTCTGCCAAACCTGTATAATGAACATCACAATGTTCTGATTTAGATATTCTGCGGTCAAAAGACGATAAGCGAAATTTTTAATTTTTAATTTTTAAATTGAGTGATTTAATGTAGTTTTCGTAAAATTTTCTCTAAGAAATGTTTTGAGGAATGAAGAGCATTAAGTTAACAGTGATAGTGATAAAAAAAAATACATCAGAAAACGTTACCAAGAGCGTTTTTTTGAGGATCAAACAAGATAGGACGAAGTTGCATCCATAAATAGACCCAATTTGGGGACAATAGACCCATATTACATACATTTCCCTCGTGAGTTATTGTCTTAAAAAAAGTAAGTTTTTCAACTTTTCGTGGTTTCTGATAGCAAACGACATGATAAGCATATCTAAGCATACCATTTAGCAGTAGAATATCGTTTGCAGGTAAATTCATTGATGAGTTATGATTAAAAACGTAATCGATGGCTGCATATTAGACCGAGGTTAGGGACGTATACCCTATTTTACCGAAATTCGGGTCTGATTCGATAAATCCGCCGGAAAAAAATGTTTTTAAACCATTTATTCGGGTTTTCGTTGGTAACCGAAGAGGTTCGGTAGAAAATTAAATCGAGTTCGGTATTATTTTCTAAGTGCGACATGATATGTCACGCTAAATCGAGGAAAAAATAACCCCCTTTCCCCCTATCGTCACGTTTTTCCTATCCCTAATGCATTGCTTTTCACAAAATTATTATTAACACTACACCACCGGCGCCGCTTAGCGGGGAGGATGAGCGAGGCTCCTCTGGCGACGATGTTGGCGAAGCACCGGACCAACTACTCACCGTAGATGGTTCCGTTAGTCACCGAAGTGAACAACCCAGGCGAACACTGCTTTGATTCGGCCTGCCTCGACCCTCCTTGGCTCTTAACTGCGGTGGCGAGACTGTTAGACACGTAGACGTACTATTAGACACGCACATTGTCAACTGGATTCATACTATGCTTGCAAAAAGAAAAGTCACTTCTGGGCTGGGAAGCTCATCTTTAACAGTAAAGGCAACGAAAGACCACTAATGTGGTCTTTAGTTGTAGATGATCTTCTAAGAAGCCTAGAGGCATAGTT